GACAGAAACAGAAAGCAAAAAAGCAAGAAACCACCCCCCCCCCCAGGGGGAATGGCCACGCCGCCATCCCTTCTCCATTCTCCTCTCGGGATCTTGGGCATGCATGCACATGCGCCTGGTGTGAATTTTAAGCCACTGGGTCCAGGATGCGAACCGTGGTCAGCTACATGGGAGTCCAGCGACATAGCCATTACACTAACTGCTGGTCCCCCCAGTCTCTTCTTATAAGGCACTGGGGCCCACCCTAATCTCATTTTAACTTGATTGCCTCCTTTTTTTCCTTCTTTAGGTTTTTGCCATAGGATGTGTGTGCTTGCTGGAGAGGAGAGAGACAGAGAGAGTGAGAGGGAAATCACCTCCAGGAGGATGGCCATACCACTGTCCCTTCTTTTCCATTCTCCTCTCCAGATTTTGGGCACATCTTATAAGGCACTGGGGCCCACCCTAATCTCATTTTAACTTGATTGCCTCCTTTTTTTCCTTCTTTAGGTTTTTGCCATAGGATGTGTGTGCTTGCTGGAGAGGAGAGAGACAGAGAGAGTGAGAGGGAAATCACCTCCAGGAGGATGGCCATACCACTGTCCCTTCTTTTCCATTCTCCTCTCCAGATTTTGGGCACATACACACACGCGACCAGTGTGATTTTCAGGCCCCGGGTCCAGGACTCACCATGATCGGCCACATGAGAATTCAGTCACCTTAACCACCACGTCACCTCTTGGCCTTTGGTTGCCTTTTTAAAGGCCCATGTCCAAATATAGCCACACTCTGAGATACTAGGATTAGGGGGTCCGCAGGACTTTAACATTTGCATTGTGCAGGGACATAGTTCAACTTAGAAACAGCTGCTCTAGGAGACCAGCAGTTAGCGTAATGGCTATGTCACTGGACTCCCACGTAATCAATCGCGGTTTGAGTTCTGGACCCGGTGGCTTAAACTGACGCCAGGCCGTGTGTGCGTTTGTGCCCAAGATCCCGAGAGGAGAATGGAGGAGAAGGGATTGTGGTGTGGCCATCCCTCCTGAGGGGGTGATTTCTCGCTTTCTGTCTCTCTGTCTCTGTCTTTCTGGCGAGCACACGCACCCTATAGCAAAAACCTCTCAAACAAAACGAAACAAAACAAAAAAGAAACAGCTGCCCTACCTGCGGCTGCTGGGACAAACTGTTAACTTGGGTCCTGGAAGAAAAGAAAGTCATTTCACGTACCAATTGAAGTTACTTCATGCAGTGTTTCTAGAAAGCTAGTCATTGGGCATCTAGAATGTCCACGTTTGGTCAGTCCTTCACTGAGGCTTTCACGTCGCAATTCTACTGGCCTTTCCAAAGGAGAGGCCTAACGAAAGACCGAGTCACCATCCTGAAACAAGGCCGCATTTTATTTTCTCCTTTAAAACTTTTGTCCATTCAGTGGCAAGGAAAGAAAAAAGATGTGGAAAAAGGGACGAGAAGTCCTACCTCCTGAGTGGCTGCTCCCTCGTGTCACGGAGGCTCCACTGGCACTACAAGGTGCAGCTGCTGCCGTCACTTTGCAGATGGAGATGTGGGGCCCGGCGGAATCACATGCCAGTGGTCGCAGTCAGTGGCCAACCTCCAGCTTGACTAGGCACAGTGAGGCTTGAGCAGTTCACTTAATGACGCGTTTCCCGAGGCTGTTTTCTCAGGTATGTCCTCTCAGCCAACATGGAGCTTTGTTTTCCTGGTTATTTACAGCCGTCTTTGCAACTGATCTTGAATCTAGCAGACTGAGGCTAAGACAGATGGATTTATGGGGAGGAACTGTGCTAGCTGCCCACAAGAAAGACAGTGACCAGATGGGCCATTGCCTGTCCTGGGCCCTGTGAGCGGGTCTCATCCAGCGATGTGTGGCACTGGAGCCCAGAGGCAGGGTGGGGTGCCCAGCTCTGCCCAGGGAATGGAATGAGACAATGGGTCGGAAAGGCCTCCTGAGGGCGGGGACTTGTATTTGAGCTCACACCACCATGGAGAATTCTCTTCCACCCCTCCTGAAAACACCGATGTAATCTGCAGGCCGTCATTAACTATAAACTGCAATTAACATGTGAGTTCCGTGTAATTCCCACACTTAATCTGGTTCTCAGTGAATGAAGTAAAGAACTGGTGTGTGATTCACATCACGGAAGTCACTGAGCTTTGTGGATTTACCAGCGAAAAACATGGTGCTGTATTCGGTGCTTCCGGGCCCCACAAGACCTGCAGGTGAGGAGCCAGGCCCCCAAAGCCCAGTGACTTGACTGAACCGACAAGACTAAGTGGCCTAGCCGGGACCTCCCCCATTAGGCCCTTTGCTTGTAAACTTTGTACAGCCCTTCCTTTGCAGCCAGGGCTCTCTTCAGTGTGTCAACATCCATCTGTTTCTTGGTGGCCCTCGTCCAGTGCTTTGTCTGAGTCTGCCTGGTGCCCTTTACCAGACTGGCTGGGCTTTGGCTTACAGGGCTTGGGTGATACCTGAGTGTGATCCTTGTTTCTGCCCACTGGAGAGGGCGTGCACGGGGGACGACCTTCATGTCCTGTGGACGTTCATTTGAACTTAAGACTCAGTGATGGGCTGCTCCCATTCTTTTTGTTTTTTCTTAATTATTTTTATTTAACGTTATCTATTTATTTATTTTAATTTGACCAGAGAGGAGGGCGGAGAGAGAAAGTGAGAAAGCAAGCTGCCAGGTCTGGGACTTGAACTGCGGTCGACCATGTGGGAGTCCAGCGCCCTTAACCACCACACCACCTGCTGGCTTCAGGCTGCCCCCATTCTTTCAGTGAGGAGTAACAGATGTCTGTTGCCAGTGGGTGTGTGCCCCTGAAATAGGTCCTCATTGAGCTCATTCCTACCTTTGAGAGTTCATATGGTCTGTTGCAGATTGAATTGTGTACACTGAAAGAAATGTTGAAATCCTAGCCCCTGGTACCTGTGAATATCTCCTTATTTAGAAATAAGGTCTTGGCATGGTGGTTAAGGCACTGAACTCCCACATGGCCAATTGTAGTTTGAGCCCTGGACCCGGTGGCTTGCTTCA